CTTCACTGAAATATCAAAGAAGCCAAGTGTTAAGAGGCTGAATGAGGAGTAACTGCCTCTGTCTCTGGATTCTATGTTTGGAGACCTCAGAGTGTCACCCAAAAAGGTCCTCCATGGTGTGATTCTACGTAAGTAGAATCCATGCCATCAACACAAAGTAATTCACTAGGGAAATTTTCATGTTCTAAGCATCACTATGTAGTTTCCAAATAGTAACCAACCATCTGATTTTGTTATTGATGGAAAACTGTAGTATTGTGACATTTGAAAATATGTAAGGCTTAAATAGATCTGATACTAAGCCTTATGGTCTTAAGTTTCATGAGTCATCTTCTGTTAGAGGAATTATAATATCGACACCTTAACACTGACTGTGGCAATAGTTGGGCAATGAGATCTTAAGGAATGATGAAATTTGACCCACATTTACAAGCATGCTGTACTAGAATGTGTGTGGCTAGTGCCAGATGACCTGGAACTTGCTTCCATTTCTACAGGACTTGCTTAACTACTGAATTTTTTTTAAGTCTAATTCACTGATTAGTAAAATCAAAGGGAAAAAAAAAAAAAAACTTCAGGGCTTATCTTAGATAAAACACTAACTTGGAAACTGTTCATGGGGAAAGATACAGGGCGGGAGGAGAAGTGGATGACAGAAGATGAGATTGATGGCAGCACTGACTCAATGGACATGAGTTGAGCAAACTCCAGGAGACAGTGAAGGACAGGGAAGCCTGGCGTGCTGCAGTCCATGGGGTCACAAAGAGTTGGACATGACTTAGCGACTGAACAAAAACAACAGTTTGGAAACATTCTCTAAAGTGTTCATGATAACTGGCACAGCTCTGTTTAAAAAGAAAATGCATCTTAGCTTATATTTAATAAAATCTTTAAGAAGATTTTTTTAGAACTTATTAAAAATATTATTATTAAGTTTAAGAGTTTTATTATCTTAGGAGTCTATTTTAATGTCTCTCCAATTTGAGTTTTTAAAATAAAAGATGTCTATTTCATCCTTGCTAAGGGCATGAACAGAATAAACAAAATCTCTGAAGAATGTTCTATAAACTTATAGCAAACCCACTCTCCTGTATCACTCTGGGATGCCTGATCATTGGGTAGAACCAGGTGTTGGTCCACTGAGTATTCATGTTTAATAATTAAGATAACTACTAATTTCCACTGCTATTCCTTTGCCATCTCATAAGGCATGCACTATTGGTCTCTTAGTATTTTGCTCTCATTGAGTGTGGAATGCTAATCATTATTTGTTGGTTACAGACCTTTACAATGCCCAGTGACATTTGCCACCAATGACAGCAGTAACAGATGATGTTGAGCCAAAGCTACTGGAAGTACAATGCATAAAGTAAAATGATAATAAATAACTGTCATTCCATTACTAAACACTGCCTGAAATTGGTTCTAGTACATGTTTGATATAGCAGAGTCTGCATAATCCAAGTACCAAAAAGGCATTCATTCCTTCGTAACAGCTGCAAACAAAAAGGAATCAAACACTTGTCTTGTTCAGTGACCAGGAATTCTTCATTGAGCATGGCATGACTATTCAAATACTTCTCGACAGATTCTGACTTTGAAATCTTATGATACCTTTTCAAATTAATGATTCTTGGGAAGTATGTCAAAAGATATATTCAGTCCAATAGACACAAAGTTCAGGAAATGCTATATTGAATGCAGAGACAAAGTCTCAAATGGTCATAAGACTGAATTTATGAATATATTCAAAGTATAGGGATGTAATTATAAGAAATATGGGACTATTAGGGTATAAGATGCCTGGGAGAGAACATATATAAATATGATCTTACCTCTGGTCAGGTGATACAGGTAAAGGACAGATTTAAACCATTTTCCTTCCCTAGTCATATAAACCAGATATGAGAACAGAATCTGTTGTCATAAACTTACAATATATATATATATATATTCAATAATAGGATGTTATTGGTGTTATCCACACTTATTACCCTTTGTAGTCTTCCTCTTTTTTCAGACTGCTGCAGCACCCTTTATTCTTTCATTCCATGGATGACTTATCAGGTTTGTTGTGGTGGAGGTTCTCTGCGTGCTTGTTAGTAAATGATTCATTCTGCCATTTGTCCTAAGTAAACTGTCATGTGGTAATCACCACAGTTCTTAATGTGAAAACAATCCATTTCCTGGACAAGTTATATTAATCTGAGTCTCAGTGATCTTACCTAGTGCAATTGGGATAATAATAAAAATACTGCATAGTCAATGTGGTAGCTAAATAAACTGTATGTTAAGTGAGTATCTTTCCTTGTTTTACCCTAAAAGCAGAGACTAAGAATGGAAGTTAGTTTATTTTGGGAATAGATCTTAAGGAATAGAACCAGGAGCCTAAGAAGGAATCAGGAAAGAAAGAAGATGCAAACCAAAGATACACTATCAAGTTGCTCACTGCTGCTGGGATTAGCTTGATCCCCTGGGAAACTTTTAGGGACCTGTGGAAAATTCACTTCTCACTGGTCCATCCAAGGAATGGAAGAGTGGTGGTCAAGAGTTGTTCTGTGGGCTGTTAAGCGTCTCACCTAAGCTTGGGTATGTATTAGACCATCTGAGCAGCTTCCTGAGGGGTTGCGCATAGTAATGGCAGGAACGTTGGCCTCACAGGAAAGTATGCCTGTGAGATAAACAAATCAGAGAGTGGCCGGGTTGAATATAATGTGGCTTCTAGCAGATTTGATGGTGACGGATCTCTTTTTCTAGATATTGGTGAGGGTATAACCCATGGGCATTCCAAATGAACCAATTGTCAGGAAACTGTCCACAATGGACCTTTGATCTAGGATTCAGAGCTCTTTCAGGGTGACTGCCACAAGGTGAGAAGCAGAGGCTTCTATGAAAGACACTTAAGATCTGGGACAACAGGGATTTTCAGTTTTATAACCTACCATGGGCAAGTGGTCATCCAGTTGTCCCTTTTTCCAAGCACAAAAATATAAATAATAATAATGGTAATAAGAACCTTATCTCTTTGGCATATATTTTTAAAGTTTATAAAACACCCTCATATGCATTGTATTCTTTGAAGTTAGCAATGGTGCTGTGAGAAGTTGCAGTGTTATTCTCATTTTTTCAGATGAAGAAATTTAAAGTTTCTAAATTATAAGGGTCTTATCCAAAGATTTTATTATTCACATGTGATAAGCCAGAATATGAACTATGACATGTCTCTACTAATCCCAGCATCCTGAAAGGTGCTGCCTTTACATTAAGAAAATCCCCTCCTATCAGTTATTTTGTAAGCACATACCCTCCACCTCCGGGGCTCCACCTCCACAGGCTCAGCAGCAGCCCAAGTGAATCAATCATTCAGTTTACTTAGAGCATGGGCAAGGTTACCACTGCCAACATTAATTTCCAAACTCACTGCCCTTTTTCAGATATGATCTCTTACTGAGAATGTCTACCAGGCTGAAGGAAACTAACTCCAGGTGCTGTGTGTCCCCAGATAGTTCCCAACACAAACTGGCTGCTATAGGACTGATAAATAATCAGCAAGAAATGGAAACTCAAGAAAACCAACATTTCTAGTGAAACACAGGTACTGTGACTGACATATACCAGTTCTAGGCTATCTGAATATTTGAAAACATGCAACCTTCTCTTTTAGGTCCTGCTGTGCATCTTGTGCTTCCCAGGTGGCGCTAGTGATAAAGAACCTGCCTACTAATGCAGGAGTTGTAAGAGACAAGGGTTCAATCCCTAGGGTGGGAAGATCCCCTGGAGGAGGGCATGGCAATTCACTCTTGTATTCTTGCCTGGAGAATCCCATGGACAGAGAAGTTTGGCAGGCTACAGTCCATAGGGTTGCACAGAATCGGACATGACTGAAGTGACTTAGCACATACATCTATCTTGTGGGATCTTGGTTCCCCGACCAGGGATCAAACTCATGCTCTTTGAAATGGAAGCACAGAGTTCTAACCACTGGACCTCCAGGGAATTCCCAACATGGGATGTTCTTAAATAAATCTGTTTCATACATCTCCAAATTTTATGACATTGGATTTAATAATAGAAATAATCATAATGATGCTAATTGCTGTAGTGATAACAATGACCCTGTTACTACCTAGTAAGTTCTCAATAACAATAAGTAATGATTGAGAACTTACTATGAGCTAGCTAGGCACTAATTTAAGAATGCTTTTCATTAATTTAGTTGATTCCCACAGCAATCCTCATGTAGAGAATACGATTAGTACCCTCACTTTACAAATCAAGAGAGAGAGGTAGAGAAAGTCTAAGTGAGTTCCCCAGGAACCCAGCAAGGAAGTGGCTGACTCAGATGCATCCCCAGGAAGGCTCAGACACCATGTTACACTACTTGGCTTTAGACCTACATGCTATAGATGTTATACTACTTGGCTTTAGACCTACATGCTATAGAGTCCGTTCTGCAGTTGCAAGTTATCAGTGGCTAGGAAATCAAGGTTCCACAAATTCCCAAGCAAAGTCAAACATCTCAGAGTATTTAAAAAACCGATTAACATCTTTGGAGGGACAAGTGTATGTGTGTGTGTGTGTGTGAGTGTGTCTGTGTTGTGAGGTGGGCAGAAGGAAGCATTGTAGAAAGGGAGAAAATAGAGGCATATTGCCTCAGAATTTGATTATTTTCCCCTAGAACTTCAGGGTATATTTACAACTTCATGGATTCTCTTTTTCACTCTAAACAAACAGGTACACGTTTCACTTTGATATTCCAATGGCTACTATAATGACCACAAGTGGCATGGGGTGAGTCATTGCCTAGTGAGAAATGGCTTCACTGAGAGCTCTCAAGGCAGAAGAACTCATTCCCCTCACAATGCTGCCCAGCATCCTGAGACTTCTGTCTCTGGGCTTTACAGAAGCAGCTCTAGATCCAGGGGTCCCACCTGGAGCACTTCCCGGAGTGACAAGGAGAGGGCCCAGCACACAGCTCTCCCCTCAGGGAAGTGACTCACCCGGTCAGTTTTCCCTTCAGTCTGAATGCTGGTGTGACTGCGGACCTCATGATCCTCTTCCAGGTCAGAAACATCCTCTAGTTCTTCTGGAGTCTATAAAAAGAAAGCAACACTCTGTTGTTGGAAATGCAAAATGGTACTCCGGTAGTACCTCAGTAAGCACAGAGTTACCAATATGGCCCAGCAACTCCTCTCCTAAGTACTTACATAAGCAGCTCTTTGCCAGGAAACTGCCCTCAGCAGGAGGGCTTCACTAGTGGCTCAGTGGTAAAGAATTTGCCTGCAATCCTGGAGACCAGGGCACAATCCCTGGGTCAGGAAGATCCCTTGGAGAAGGGGATGGGAACCCACTCCATTATTCTTGCCTGGAGAATCCCATGGACAGAGAAGCTCCTTTTCTTGTCACTTTAGCAAAGCCATACTGTAACTAAAATTTAAGCCAGGCACTTCCATGTTTACTCATCTCCCCCCCAAGCACACCTTTCAGATCTTTTAATCAAACAATATATTGCCTAATTTATCAGTTCTTTCCATAGATTATAGTGGTAGAAATGAAGAATAAGTAATTAGCAGATGACCAAATCTTTTCCCTAGTTTCCCATCCAGCAATCTCATGCCCAAACTGTGTGAATAAGATAGTACCTAGAGGAATATCACAAGAAGTCACTGAGCCTGCATAGAGGGGGATGGTGATGACCTTGACCTCCATCTCAATGATTAACTGAGATTACTTCCCTTCTTTCCTTTAAATGTTTTCATAATCCAGCAGAATCTTTGGACATGGTGTTTGGGGGATGTTGAGTCGACTATCTCCCTAGATCGCCAGCAATTTGATTAAAGGAGACTTTTCTTTTTATAGGGCTTTCCTGGTGGCTCAGACGTTAAAGAATCTGCATATTGGTTTTGTAAGCAGTGGGAAGTAGGACCCAATTCACTCAACAGTACATACCCAAGAGAAATGAAAACCATATTTCTACACAAAAAATTGTAAACAAGTATTCATAGCAACAGAAATCATAATGACCAAGAAACATATCTAGTGATGAATGAATAAACAAAACATGGTAAATCCCTACAAAGGAATATTACTTGACATAAAAAGAAATGAAGTACTAATATATACTGCAACATGGTAAACTTTGAAAATATTACGCTAAGTGAAACAAGTCAATCACAAAATGCCACATATTATATGGTTCTATTTATTTGGAATTCAAGAGTAGCCAAATGTATAGAGATAGAGATTTGATTAGTGGTTCCTAAAGCAGAGAGTGGAAGAAGGGGTTGGGAGTCATAACTTCTAATGGGTATGTGGTTTCATACCCATTGGGATATAAAATGGCATGGCATTTCATGGGATGGTATTGGTATGAAATGGGATGGCAACAATGTTCTACAATCTGAAGTGGTAATGATCACACACTCTTGTGAATATTTAAAATACTTTAAATGGTGATGTTTATAGTATATTAATTATGTCCCAATAAAGTCTGAAAGAAAAAGAAAGCAAAAATGATCAGAAGGATGTTTTTCTCTGAGTAGCAATTTGTAACCACTATGTGGCTACCACACGTCAAGGTGTTTACAGGTGACAAATAAATGGAATAACTATTATTAAAACCATATGATATCAAAACACAAGAAAGTTGAGAAACTAAATTTTCTTAGAACTCAATAATTTAACATGAACTTTAGGGTTTAGTCTACATAGTTACCCTACTTCCATTGCTTTTTTTTTTTTTCCCCAATTTCAGCTTAAACATCTTTTATTCAGGGAAGTGTCTTGCTTACAAATCCCGTAGATTGGCCTGAGTTCCTCTGCCAAGCATTTCCTTATGCTCTCTACTTTCACTATATAATGCTCATCATACTTTATTTTATCATAGGTTGTTGAATTGGGAAGTAAACTGTTGAACTATCTGTTCTTTGAGGTAAGGACTCAGCCTGCTCTGCTTACTACCATCTCACCACAACCTAGCACATACATGGTTTTAAATGAATGAAGAAAAATTATCAGTGATAGGCCAAAATCTAGTTGGATATGAGCAAAACAAAACATATCAACAGCAACAATAAACATCTGTCCTCACTGTATCTCTATTGTGATTCTATCTTCCTATATTTCAAACTAATTTTTTAATCTGTTTTTTGTTGTTTTTCTCAGTTCCAGGTTACCATTCCCTTAAGTCCCTCTGTGGCAATAATTTAATGATACCAGTCATTAATGCAAATACAAGTACTGCACAGCAAAATCGTTATTACAAATATAAAGTACTTAATGAGAATTAATTTAGTATTAAAGTTTACACAGTCTCAGTCTTAAACTATGATTCCTTTGCTACAAAGCTCTGGTGAGAAATCCAGAATATAAACATTTAGGTTTCATGACAAACATCCCAAAGTGAAAATGGAAGGCCTCCTGTATATTTATATACACGTAGCTGTTGAAGATGGGAAAGGGTCAGGACCTACCTCCTCAGAATAGCTCTGGTTTCGCTCAAACCTTGCTCTACACCCAGGCCCTTCACTTACTTTCATGGTTGCGAAGAGCATTCATTCCACTGGGGCCACTCCAGGCATGGGAACTTGAAACCGTTAGCTCACACTGTGGCGCAAAACTAGCAATCTCCTAAACACTTATGGCTTCAGATTCTTTCTCAGCTCATAGATCTTTAACCAGCACTATTTTGTTCTCCAACACTTGCACTGAGCATCTCCTATCACTCTGCATTAATTCCAACCAACTTATTAGATATTAATATCTTCCCCCTCACCAAGGCGCCCAGTGTGCTGAGTAGTTATCTATATGTTGATCTCTACATGCAGCCCTTCTTTGCTGCAACCACCTGCAGCTATGATCACAGGAAATTTATTTTTCTTCTTAAGTAATAACAGCATAAGTTCACCATGAGGGAATTTCTATACAATCACATATTTCATTATTAGCTATTTTTTGTGTATTCTTCCCTAGTATTCTTCAGAAAGGCTTTTTATCATTTTTTTCTCTTGATTTATCACCAGCCCCTATAATGTCTGAATAAACTCAATTGATCAAATTCCCTTTCTTGAGCCCTGTTATTTTGCAACTGCAAGCTGTCTGGGGTCCCTACTGTGATCTGTTTTTTATAAATGTCTTTGTTTATTACTCAGGCTATATTCTATTATATAACCCAAGTTCTGTGGTGAGACCGAGCTTCGTCACCAATCCCAGTACTTTGTGCAATTCAAAAATAAAGTGACCTAACAGAAATTAAGAACTGCTCCTCAGAAATCACAAGTACCATTTTTGTTAGTGATACTGCAGGAAGTGATAAGCCTACCATTTACACCCACATACTTGTGTACTTTTCTTTAACAGGGGACTGATCGTGTTCTTGCCAAACCACCACAACTGACTTCTCCTTATCATGAAATAAAAAGTGGGGCAGTGTTCAAAACACTTGCTGGTAGCATTTTGCATTCTGTAAGGCAAGCAGCTGGATGATATTTTAAAAAATAAACAGTTATGTATACAGTGTTACAGTTTAAATGGAAATTAAGAAAGGAATAGGAGTACTTAATCATTTGGGGGATATATATGAACTTCAGTTTGAAGACAAATAATAATAGAAAGGGTAAACATTTAAAAAAGGAAGGATGGAGGTTTGGCAGCCTTATATTGTACACTCCTAGAAACAGCTTGCTTCATTTTTATTTATTTAGTCACTTTGGAAGTTTAAACTTCTGGAAGGTTTGTGTATGTGTGTGTAACCTGTGCATGTTTCCAATCAATTTCCATCCTGTGTGAAGGGAAACCAACTATCTTAGATCAGTGTCAAGTAGGAGAAAGACCATAAACTGTTGAGCAATGCAGACCTGAATTTGAATTCTGCCTCTCCAGTTAGCTTGTTGGGGAATAGGTGTCTCCTCTTAAATTTTTGTTTCTTCAGAACACAATTTTGGATAATGAGACATAATCCTGAAGATTGTTGTGAGATCCAGTTGTACTAAGATGTTTAAACAAGTGCTTAGCCCGCAGACACAGCTGGGGTGCAACAAGGGTTGCTTCTTTCTGTCTATTATTTGTTCTCTTCTTTCTTCACAAACTTATCCTCATCCTATCAAACCCTTTATATTTTTTGATAAAACTTCTGTGGCATTTTGGATACCTCCATTTTACTTCACATCTGTTACTCTGGATTGACACAATACTTACCGCTAACTCTAGTTACACTTTCCTGATTTTGAATATACAATGTCATTGTGCTAACAAGGTTTAGTGTAATTACACATACACTGATTTCTTTTAAATTTCAAGTAAAGATCATGTTTGATCCTATTTTAATCATGTGTAAGAGTAAGATACTCTCTTAAACTGGCCCTAGCAAAGATACACTCTTCACATTCTCAGGGGTGATAGAAATAACTTTCCTTCTCTAAGCTGAACTGTCTTTAAACCAGACCCATAGGAAGATAACCTATTTTATTGTGTAAAAAGTGATAATAAATTCTATTACTCATTTATTTCTCTGATAAAAATTCAGGATAACTATTGCATAGTTTTCTAACTCTTGCTTATTGTGAACCCTTCTTTAGGCAACCCAAAGTGACTTGAAATAAGCTAAGTTTCCTCATCTTAAAATGGAAAAAAAAATATTACCTAATTCTTAGGGTTATTGTGAATATAAAATAACATGATGGACTAGAACATAATTCAGTTTCTAGAAAATACTGAATGCTCAATATTGTTTATGATTATTATAAATTATTATTGTAGTACTTTAAGATCTCACTTTGTTTATATAAAGGAGCCCAGAAACAAGTACAGTCAGACTTGAAAATAGGCTGAGGTTTTCATACAGAAACTGAGTGTGCAATAAACAGTAGTGGTACATTAAACTTCAAGGACACAATCAATTGGTGGTATGAGTGTATGTGAATGTATATACATATGTGTGTGTATATATAAGCTTAAATATGTATTTATTTATTGAGGTACATATGACTACATTCATATTCATCCTCCTCCTCCACACCAAGGAGCTTAATGCTTTCTAAAGAGTTATAAATTCTTCCAGTATCCTTAGTGAAACAAGTAGGCAGTATTATTATACATTAAAATTCACTTGCTCAAGGCTACAAATGCTTAATTCTGAAGTATAAGAAAATAAATTTTGTGGTCACTAAAACAACAAAAAATAAGGGAAGGATGAAAGCAAGGGCAAGAGGGAGAAGAGGTAGGAGGGAAGAGAAAGAAAGAAAGAAAAAGAAAAAAAAGTCTAAGAAATAGGAGTCATGCTCAGTATTTTCCTAAGATTTAAGGTTGAATTCTAAATCATATAGAGGATTGGATGGCAATTCAAAGTTCTCTGATTATCCCTCAAGCCCTTACTACAATCAAGTAACTGCCAGAGCAATGTCAGTATTGGTCTGACACTCAGAGAAGGAATGATGCTGCGGACAGTATTCTGAAAGAATCTGCAATAGCATGCTCAGTGAGATTATCTTAGCTGAGCTGATAACACAGAAGTGGAGAGAACAGAATTCAAATACATTTTAAAATGAGGAAAATATACAATAACACAATTCAAATTATGGAAAGCAAAAATGAGTGCACACACGCAAGCACACACATATGCATATATCCCCCCCCCCCACCCCGCATCCAATAATCAATACTCAGTTCTTGGCATTATTGACAAGGTTTTTGATCCATTTTCTGAGCCTTGTTTTTTCTAGTTTCCAAGTCCTATAAATTATTTAAAGAGTCACATTTTAGAAAAAATGTAACCATCACATTTAACTGTCAAAAATTTCAAAATATTTCCAGAAAATGAAGTAACCAACATGTTGTGTATTACAGACTTTTTTTTAAAATGACAGACCCCTGGAATCAATCTTTGAGGGAGAGGCCCACTAACCTATAGCTTTATAAAATTGTACAAATGATCCTGTATGCAGTTCTTCATGAGAATTACTGGCCTTACATTAAATTTAATTTTTTGATTGGTTTAGGCTTTAGTTAAGTGTCACTGTAATATGAGTTGCAAGATGGCAGCATCAATAGTTTATCAAGGATTTTCCCTGTCACCTGAAATGCAGGAATTTGTATGCCTTCCATTGCTTGTCAATTAGAGGGTTAATTTGTCACCTACTTGGACAGATAATATGTAAGTTTTAAGATTTTTGGAGTTTATGCTTAAACTGAAAGCATAACATTTACATTAATCTGGAAGAAATGTTTCCTTTGCACTAAAAAGATCCTGATGCTGGGAAAGACTGAAGGCAAAAGGAGAAGGGGGTGGCAGAGGATGATATGGTGAGATAGCATCACCAACTCAATGGACATGAATTTGAGCAAACTCCAGGAGATAGTGGAAGACAGAGGAATCTGGCATGCTGCAGTCCATGGGGTCACAAAAAGTCAAACATGATTTAGTGACTGAACAACCATAGCAAGGAGTACTCAATGGTAGGAGAGATTTGGAAAATCTTTCAAGTTTGGTTGATTCAAATATTTTTGTTTTCCAGTCACTAAGTTGTGTCTGGCTCTTTTGTGACCCAGTGGACTATAGCCTGCCAGGCTCCTCCATCCATGGAATTTCCCAGGCAAGAATACTGGAGTGGGTTGGCATTTCCTTCTCCAGGGAATCTTAACCCAGGAACTGAACCCATGTCTCCTGCATTAGCAGGTGGGTTCTTTACTGACCCACTCCAATTCATCACATTAGTTAGAAAGATGGTTAACCTGATGAATACATGTATCTTCTCATTTTAACATAAAGTGAGAAGGCATCTAGCATTGTTCTCAATTTTATAACCTGAATGTCTCACATAGTTTCTAGTAAAAAATAGGTGTGTGGAAAATATGTTTTTAATGAATGAATACATGGAAGAAAAATATACATAATAAAGAAGGGTAAAAATAAAGATATATTTCTCTATTTTCCCAATAGAGCATTGGTGAATTTTCTCATTTTAACCTTTTGAAAAATAATTCAAAACTGCCTTTGGGTACCATTATTATCCCTTTTTGTTTCACAAACGATGTCTTTTTTCCTTTTCCAATGTTTAGAATATACCACTCTATGAATTATTTCATATGATGAAACTAAGATGCTTGGGCATTATACCCCTTAGTTCAGTTCAGTTCAGTCACTCAGTCATGTCTGACTCTTTGTGACCCCATGGACTCCATGCAGAACGCCAGGCTTCCCTGTCCATCACCAACTCCTGGAGCTTGTGCAAATTCATGCCCATCAAGTTGGTGATGCCATCCAACCATCTAATCCTCTGTTGTCCCCTTCTCCTCCTGCCTTCAATCTTTCCTAGCATCAGGATCTTTTCCAATGAGTCAGTTCTTCTCATCATATGGCCAAAGTACTGGAGCTTCAGCTTTAACATCAGTCCTTCCAATGAATATTCAAGACTGATTTCCTTTAGGGTTGACTTGTTTGATCTCCTTGCAGTCCAAGGGACTCTCAAGAGTCTTCTTCAACATATATCCCTTAAAGCTACAACAATTAAAATACATCTTGAGAAAGATAAGACAGAATACA